GGTATCGTGGAGCAAATTACTTCTTTTTCATGTCCCTTCTCTGGCTCCCTTCATTTTCCATCCTGAAATGCTTAAAATCTCTGTTCTATTGCAAAACTTGGTGGATAGTTTGACCTGGTGTAGAATTTTAAGTAAAAAAAAATTTTAAATAGAATTTTGAAAAATTTTCTTCATAATACCAAAACAATATACATAATACAAATATTTGTCTTCAAGAAAGTAATAGTATCCACCTCCTAGTCCCTCCCCCCAGATTTTCTGCTCTTTATTTCTATAGCTATTATAATTTTTGTGATATATTCTCTCTATATTTTTTTCTCTTTTGTTCTATTTTCCTACAGATTTTCTTTATTTCCCAGGCATCCTATTCAAATTTTTCATTTTGGGAATCATATCTGTCAATTTCCAAGAGCTCTTTCTTAGTTTCTGAAGTTTTTTTAGTTTCCCACTGTTTAAGGCATGCATTTTTCATGTGTAATGAGGATAACAATTAGGGGGAATTTTTTCTTCTGTCTTGCATTGTTTCTGTTAGATAAGAGATTTTTGGTCCTGTTTTGATTTCTCATTTTCATGCTGGAAGTTTTCTCAACACTTGTTTAATCTTGGTTGTTCATATACTACAATGTGTGTGTGTGTTTGTGTGTGTGTATTGTGGTGGTGCTTTCCAACTGATGGATGTCACTTCAGGATACCTGGAAAAGCGGTTGGTCATTTTGTTGATCACTGTTTGGTATTTTCCCAAATGCCAGAGGAGAGATCCTCAGTGTCCAGCGGGGCAGTGCCTGGCCAGGAACACCCTTACTCCTGCAGTTTGTGAAGGCAGGGCTCTATGCCATCTCAGAGCTTACTGATTCTCCATCAGTCTCTGTCTCACGAGTCCTGCCCTCCACCTCTTGTGTTGCCTCCAAACTCTGTGCTCCTCCAGTTCATTTCATCAGCAAAGAAGAAAAGATCTGCCCGGGGAAGAGGTGAGCGGGTTGCAGAGCGAATGCCTTGTGGTCCTGCTGTCCTGACTCCTCTGTCTCCTTTCCTCTGGGGTTTTATGGACCAAGTTGCTTGTTTTTCATGTCCTCCCTCTATCCTGCCAGACAGTAAGTGTTCCTCCAACAGCCCTGAGTTCTATGGAAGTGTGCTGAGCTCTCTCCTCTGCTGGCGTCCCCTTTCCCATCCTCTGTGTGTGTTTCAGAATTATTCTATCACGTTTGTGGAAGCACAGTGATGAAGTAATAAGCACTTGGTAGCAGACCACCATCTTTAACCAGAATCCTAAGTTATGTAATTTTTTATTGCTATTGCTGTAATGAATATTTTTGTGCCTGTAGCATTTTTTCTCCTTTTGCATTTATGAATTAGGGTAGGATCAAAAGCACAAGGAAGAAATTAGATTTGAAATGGTTAGAGGGAGACTTCATTCCACATATCTGAAGCTGAGGCGAGCTGTAGAAAAGATTCAAAAGGCAAACGGAGAAGAAAAAGACCTTTGTGTTCTGTATTTTCATCTTTTTTAAAAAACGAGTTTATTTGTAGAGTGCTGAGATTGTGAGTGTGTAGGACTGAACGTGGGGCGGTGTGGGGCGGAGTCTGGAGTACTCGCAGAAGTGAGGAGCTATAAACAGTAGCTTCCACCCCGTTTTGTGCCTGAGGCAGGCCTTGTTGGCAGCCTACAACAGTAACTTCCCATCCAAAAGAAATCTCCCTTGAGAAGCCCGAGGCCTCAGCCCAGAGGGATTACGCCTGAGTGTGTCCAGGGCCTCTACTGCTTCCACTAGCCCTGGGTGTGAGATCCCAGGCCACAGGAAAAGAGCTGCAGGGATTGCCCAGCCGGTGGGAGTTGCTCTGGGAGTGCTGTGTCAGGAGTGGGACCAGCCATCTGCACTGCTTCCCCTGAATCAAAGGACCCTCTCCGTGTTCCCTGAACTGAGACCACCCCAGGAGGCACTAGACCCATTTTCAGTGGGGCCTGGGCCCGGCTGGCTATACATGACCCTGGGCTCACAGACCAGCCCAGAAACTAGGTGAGCTGACTTTTTTCACCCTAACCCCCCTTTGGATCATGAACTCCTCCAATACTTCTTACCTTTCTTCTACAGAGTCTCATGGAACAACGCGAGCACAGAAGAGGCACCAAGAAAATGCATATTGGTTAAAAACAATCCCGAGAGGCGGGTGGTAAATGCCAGCATTTCACAGCTGTCCCAGCCTCTTCTGCGCAGTGTCTTCCCTGTGCTCACCACAATGCCAAAGCGTTCCCAGGACAGGAAGTGACATCTTCCTTTTACAGATGAGGTGACTGAGGCCCAGGTAACTTGTGTGACTTGTCCAGGGTCCTACAGGTCGTGTGTCAAGAGCAGGATTCTGTCCTAGGTCTTCTGATCTCAAGTGCAAGGTTATTTCCAATGTGCTGTGTGGTCTTAGAAAAATGTAACAAGCAAAACTTGAGAGTCACTCACGTAAGAAGCATAATGAGCTTCTCTATTACACCCAGACACCTGACTGCTCTCAGGGGTTTCATCATTTGCATTTGACTTTCCTACTGCTTCTGTACAGACATAGAGGTTTAAAACAACCAAGATGTATTGTCTCTCGTTCTGAGTTCAGAAGTGTTGTGTCTCTGGCTGTGCTCCTTCTGAGGCTCCGAGCAACAACCTGAATCCTTCCCTTGTCCAGCTCCTGGAGGCCTCCCTGCTTTGTGATCTCTTCCATCTTCAGGCCAGCCGTGGCTGCTTGAGCCTTTATCGTGGTGCCGTATGTATCTGTGGGCCTGGCTCTCCTGCCTCTCCTTTCCTCATTTTAAGGACCCTTTTGATTACATTAGTTTCACTTGGCTAACCCAAGATAATCTGATCTTAACGTCAGCTCCTTAGCAGCATTAATCCCATCTGCAACTGTAATTCCCCCTCGCCAAGTAAGAGAATTGGTGTAGAGACTCTGGGGATTAGAGTGTGCACACCTTCAGTGCGGCCGTTCTTTTGCCTACCGCAGATGACAAGAGAGCTTGCCATGGAATAATAGTAACACTGGAATTGGAGGCGTTGTGTGCTTGATTGCCAAATGAGTATGATAGACCTCAAATGCAAAAAGCAGGGAGGAAAGCCCTCTCCTGGACTTGAATGATCAAGGGACTCTTAGTATTAGGCAAGGAAAGTGAAGAAGCCAAGTTTCTGGGGTAAGAATGAATATGACCATTGGGAGCCACCGAGTTCCTCAAGCATAGGTAACAAGACGAATACAGTTTAGAGCGGGTGAATCCCGTGTGTGGTTCTCCGGGAACCTCGTTTGATTTTCACAGGCTTTGTCTTGATTTCAAAGAAGGGAAACTGAAGTCCAGAAAGTATGAGTGCCCCTATGAGAATGCAAGGTGGCAACGGCCCTGGCCAGACGTTACTGCTCACGACAGGTCTCCATATACCAAAATCTCTTTGGAATTATTCCCCAGAAAAATCCCTAAAATTAGGTCTTTCTGTCTTTGCTCCTGGTCATCTCTTTTGGAACATGCATTTTTCAAAGCCTGCTGCTCCAAGTCCCTTTCAGTTGCAGCCAGCGGGTTGGGGGAAGGAATCTTGGAACCCAGGCTGGGATACGGGGTTCGTGCTTCTCCCGAAAGCTTTCGGGAAGTCTTTTTCTCCAGTGTTAGACTGCCATTTGTGTCACATTGGGTCATCACCTCTGGGCCTTGCCTAAAGCTTCAGCTCCATTTCCAGCTGCTCTTTGGGGGAAATTTGGGACAGCAGAGTGCAGGGGGAAAGCACAAGGGGGAGAAGCAGAAGACCTCGCTTCTAGCTCCATCGCCAGCTGCCTCTGGGACCACAGGTAAGTCCCCTCTCCTACTCTTGGTTTCCTCGCCTGTCAAGTGAGTGGACTTGACATGGCAGTGGTCTGTAGGGGTTTTTGAATTCTGAGAATCTGTAGTCGTGATTCTTAAACTCAGCATGGGAAGAGCTTCACTTGTGGAGGTCAAAGGTGGGGTCTGGATCTACCTCCCCATCTTCTGACTTCAGTCTTAATTCTCATCACCTGCTTTGGGTTCTGTTCCCCACCTTAGTTTAGCAAACCTTCTACCGGAGATGCCCAGAACCGTGTGTCATTGGATGTCACTACTGACAATAATTAAATCCAATTAAATCCAATAATTAAACATCCACTTGTGCAAAGGCAGCCAGTTCTGTTTCCTAAACGGGGAGGCAAGTGTGGCACAGGCTTCCTGATTCATGGGCATCGTAGAATGGAGGGACATTTGAAAACCATCAAGGTCGATAACGTCCTGCTTACACACGAAGAGACAAGCCTGAAGAGGTGATCACCTGGCTGAACTGAGAATGTCACTGCTGGGACTAGAATCAACGTTCCAGAATTCCAACCCAGTTCTGCCTTCTCCTTCCATTATCTGCCACATTCTATTAACTGATTTGAAAACAAAACTGTAATGAGCCCTAAATTATTTTCTCCTTGAGCACAAAGAATTGTTAATTGGGGAAGGATGTGCCCAAATTTGTGATGAGAAACAATTTCCACAGGCTCAATAGAGTTACTGGGCCATGGCCCCTTTGTTTCAGCAAAAGCATCCCGTACTGGAAGGGGGAAGAACATATGGAGGCAGAGAATGGCATCCTTCCTTGTTCTCAAACCTTTTGTCTCCCTGTTAAACTGTGTGTGCTTGCCAAACACGAGCCTAGTAAATCACACAGCCCAAGAAATCCCAACCATCTACCCTAATTCCTCAGTGCTGTGTTTGGCAGCTGGCATCTCAGCTCTGCCAAACAGGATGAACAGACCTCAGCTGAGTTCTGACTGTGAAAGGAGGTCATGGGCAGCAGGGCCTTATCCTCTCTGTGATCCAGTGGGCACTGCCTGCTTTATTTGTTTCCAAACCAAACCAACCTACCCCATGCAATGAGGAGCTAAAAGGAAGAGATCAGTCTCACAACTGTAAGCAGGACAGTTGCCTTTGACCTCTCTCTTTTTTTTTTTTTTTTTTTTTTTTTTTGACAGGCAGAGTGGACAGTGAGAGAGAGAGACAGAGAGAAAGGTCTTCCTTTGCCGTTGGTTCACCCTCCAATGGCCGCCGCGGCCGGCGCGCTGCGGCCGGCGCACCGCGCTGATCCGATGGCAGGAGCCAGGAGCCAGGTGCTTTTCCTGGTCTCCCATGGGGTGCAGGGCCCAAGCACCTGGGCCATCCTCCACTGCACTCCCTGGCCACAGCAGAGGGCTGGCCTGGAAGAGGGGCAACCGGGACAGAATCCGGCGCCCCGACCGGGACTAGAACCCGGTGTGCCGGCGCCGCTAGGCGGAGGATTAGCCTAGTGAGCCGCGGCGCCGGCCTGACCTCTCTCTTCATACCTGCTCTGGTATGGCACTCTGCATCCCACTCTGGTTGCTACCAGCTGCCCAGATGTCTAGCTCTGTCTGCTAGTTCTGGTCTTACTAACTTTACAGCCAGATTTAATTTGGCTCAACCTTTGGTCCTCTCCAGGTGACAGACTACATTCTTCCTCTAGCACTTCCTGCCCTTGGTCATTCTGATTTAGGGCTCAGTGCAGTTTTCACTGCATCTAGTCCCCAGGTACCCTTTATCCTCAGTTCCTGAATGAATCACTCTATCTGGCAATCCCTGTTGGCTGGGCTCAGTTCCCTACATCCAAGCTATTGTGTTGATCTCTAGTCCTCAGCCAGATCTCCCTCCTCTGGCTGACCGCCTACATCTGCCATTGTGTGCCCACCTCCTCATTCCTGTCTTCTTCTTCACTTTCAAAACTTGCTTTGGAGAAGCATCTCAGCTGTCAGACATCTCACTGTCCCCCCAGGGGGCCTCACCAGCTCTGGGCTCAGACTTGGCATGGCTGGTGCCATCAGGTGAGAGACACTCCCCTAGACTCCTGTAGAGTAACTGACCTGGTGAACCTCAGCTCCTTCATTCCCGTGCCTTGGCTGCACTGCCAAGGAGAGAGATTTAGAAGTGCCCAGGGCCACCTCAATGGGACTTCTGGCTGAGTGTTTTGGATCTCTTGTGTACTTTGCAATTTGAAATTAACCACAGACTCGACTCCCAAAGTTAAAAACAGTGTAAAACCTAGCATTTCTAAAAGTGTGGGTCTGTGACCATCTGAATCAGAGTTGTCATTAAAAATATAGATTCTAGCCCATCACTTCAGAATCCTAAGGGGATTATTAGATTGATTTCTGGGCACAACAACATGTGATAGCTACTGATTTCATCTGTCTCCCAGGAGCAGCAGTATTCCATTTAAGCCATCTACAGCAGTCAAGTGACCCCTCTGGTCTAGGTAGTCTTTGAAAACAGGAGCTTCCAGAATATCAAAGAAACCTTGAAATTACACATGTCTGCCCTATTCAAAGAAAGCACCAACGAATTTGTTGGGAGCCTTCCTTGCCCCACACTATGACTAGACACAGTTGGGGAAACTGGCTGACTAAAACACCCGACTAATTCAGACTTTCAAGTGAAGGCACATACTTTCCTTTGTGTCTCAGGGAAACAGAGACAGCATGGGGACAGCTTGCAACAGGTCTCACCTTGTCAGCGAGGAGCTGTCAGAGTTGGCAGGTGAGTCTGCTCTGACGGCTGTGACAAGGGAAGGTACATGTGGTGAAGAAAAAGTGGGTCACTGTTTTAAGATAAAAAAATTGACATGAAATTTTATGTGAAAGCAAATCTTTGTGGGAGGTACCTATCAAATTAAGAGAAGCTTTTGGAGAAGAAGTAAGGTCGAAATATGTAAAGACAGTAGGGATAATAGCTGGAATATCGAGAGGATCTGTATAGAACCACAGATTTCTGACAGCTAGGGCCCTCTGAAAACATGTAGACCAGTGGTTTCCAATGTTTTCTTTAGCCCCTTGAGCCCATTTGTCAACCAGATGTCTTATGCAGAAATCTAAGATATTAAATAGATAAACAGAGTTATTCTGTTGAAGTATGTGTGTGTAGATTAGTCAGGACAGGCTAAGTTATGTACAATAACAAATAATCCAAAACTTTCATCAGCTTCCATAATGTTCCTTGCTCGTGCTCTATTACAAATGGGCATGGGTTCAATTCCACAGCTCCACAGCTCCTCATGCCAGGACCCAGGCTGACAGGGCAGCTGCCATCTTGAACATTGTTGGTTGTCATGGCAGCAGAACTCTGAGGACTATTGCATTGCCGATTAAATGCTCCAGTTGACAGGAACACTTCTAGCCATCACATGACCCTACTCAGCCACAACGGAGCCAATGAATACAATCCTACCACGTGCAACAAGGAATTTCCTACTGAAAACACTTGGCGGACACTACCTTTGACAACCACTGTGAAGGTGAATGTGTTTGTGTATGTGTGTGCACAAGTTCTCATCCACCCCTAGGATTATCCCCAGCTGTCTCCATGGCAGTAGTTCAAAACTTACTGAATCAGCTCCCTTATTTTAAGGAACTGAGATCAAGTAATATCAAAACCTGAACCAGAGTGGAGCTCTCTTATCTCTCATTCCAAGGCTCCTCCCATTTTAAGCTGATTAGGTGATGTGTGTGTGGGGGAGGGACAGGAAAAGAGAAAGAGACAAAATGGTGACTCAAGAGTTAAATGCAGATAAAGATGAGAAATTATTCTGAAAGGAAATGTGAACTTGGAGGAAATTTTCCGTGAAGGCTTGCCGTGCATTCCAAGTGACAAATAGATGCAGTAAAGACATTATATTTGCTCTGATTACCCAAGGGATGCCGGGCAATGGGAAGAGTTTTTGAAGAGAACAGCAACTGATGATGAAACGCGGTGTTCCTGATGTGGGAAGGAAGCCAGGCAGAAACCATCAGCTTGGCTGAGACCTGGGAGAAAGACTCATGTTGAGATCACAAGGGAGGAGGGGACCAACTGACGCTGCACAAGTCAAGGGCGCCGTAGAGCGAGCATGTATCCCACACACAGGATTAAACAGTTCTGCTGGGCTCAACAAACATCAACTGTTACCCACTCTGTCCTAAGCACAGTTAAGCGCCAGGAACCCAGAGACAGCCACACACAGCCCGAGGGAGAAACAGTGAGGCCTGAACTGGGGTGAGGGAAGAAACCACAAGGCTTTGAGACTAGTAATGGGCATGTTGGGGTGGGGGTGATGATAAATGAAGGTGCACCTAGGATACCTCCTAAACTTGTATCTTCTTGGGTTTTCCAATATGCATTTGGGTCAGAATAGTTCTTCAGGCAGGTCTGCTGTCTACAATGGATATGTAAGATTTCTGTATTCATGTGCTCCTTTCTCATTGTGACCACCTCTCCCCTAAATACACGTACCCCTGCAGGGGCACATACATCTCCATATGTCCCGGGAGGGCCAGTATCCCTTCCTTCCCTGCACCACCATTTCACAGCCACTGCTCCCACTCACCCTCTGCAGTACAGCCTGAATTATCTTTCTCTCTCTAGAATCAACAGCAAAAACACTATGAATGAGAGCCTTTCCTAACCTCATCTGACCCCACCGCTTCCTAAATTCCTCTGGGAGTATAGTGAGGCTTACATGAGGCTTCCTCCAGTCTGGATCATTCCTGGTATTTCTACCTCCATTTCTCTCCATTCGCGCACACATTCATTCATTCATGCTGCAAGTTCATGAAATGACTTGAAGTTCTTTTGATGCTTAAGGCAACTTCCCACCTCGGTGCTTTTGCATCTACCTTGGACTCTGCACCTTGGCCAGCAGGTGAAACACTGCCTGCTAATCTGCCCACTCTTTCCTTGTGCTGCCACAGTGGCCAGTGCCTGACTCTGTCCTGATGACACTGCTTAAAATTATCTGTTTACTTGGAGGAAAGCTAGTCACTCAGCCTCTAGAGAGATTATGTGAATTTTCCCATTTTCAATATTAATAAGCTTAAAATTTTCTACATGCTCTATCATTTTTTTCTTCTGTAAAATGGGGATAATGATATCCATAGATTTATCCTGAAGATCAAGATAATACAAGTAAAGTACTAGCTAATTGCAGGTGTTAGCTATATGAATATATGAATAATATGGATTAAGAAGATGTTATATTACACCATGCTATCAGAATTGAGGGGAGATGTCTTATTTTATGTAGCTTTTGTTTTTCAGTCAGTGCTTAGCAAAATGCAAGGAAAACAGGAAACCTCCAAATATTTTTAAATGAATAAACCAGTTAGGAAAACATCAAATTGTGTTAAGTGATTGATCAGATTAAGTAGACAAGAAAATGTCATACATATTTCAGATTTACAAGTAACATGTTTGAAAAAGCAAAACTTGCCCCCACCAAAGGAGGTGCTTCGTTTGTTTAGAAACTTCATTGATGTGAATCTGCCAGTCTGTTGATGGTGCCAGGGCAGGTGCTGCACTCCCTTGCACCCTGGAGAGGAGCGTGGGAGCTGGGGCACATGGGGGCTTTGCTCTCAGCCCCACCAGGTATGCACCCAGGCTCTCCTGCTTCTAGCCCCAGGACCTTGTATTGTTCAGGACCTTGTCCTCGAGGTGGTTACCTAAGCTTTAGGAGTGTTAGTGTCCTGGCAAAGATGTGGAGTTGTTGCCAGCCTAACGGTCTCATTGGAGTGTTGGGATGAGAACAGGTGTATCTATGGCTCTCAGGGCTGCTCATTAATGGTGACTTATTTTACCTTGCATTGCCAGGTGCTTTATTCCGGTAGTAAACTTGTGAGTAGCTTAGAGGTGGGGATTCAAGGTCTGGGTAAGTCGAGCAGCTGAGATATCCATTCATGGAAGCCCGAGCAGGACCAGGGGAGTCTCATTAAATGCAGCTGTCTGTCCAGTCTCTGCCACTGTGTGCCTGTTACATGACCTTCTATTTCTTCTCTGTTTCAGCACTTCCTCTCATTCTTGCCTTATTCACTGGCTTCTGTTTACCATCTGCCTGCACGTGGCTGCACGTGTAACTGCTCTGTGGCACCACCAGGAACGCCATCTCAGTTTGTGTGGAGTTCGTCACTTGCCCTCAATTCCAGTCTTCTCTGGGTCAGTTTCTTGAAGGAGTCATTGGAATAAATGTCAACTCTGGCGCTTGGCTGACCACGTACTGGAAGAAAATGAAGTTAGATGTCAGTGGCATCTGAGACAGTGACTGTGCCTCTCGATGGTGGAGCTCCCCACTCTCCTTCCCCTCATTCCTGCCCATCACACCTCAAGGTGTCCAGTGGCCGTGGGCCTACAGTCAGGACTGGAGGGGCTGCGGCCTGACCTCAGCAGGTGAGGAGGCTGTGGCGGGAATGAGGTCTGCGCTGGGAGCCGGGAAGCCTGCGGTTAAGGTGGAAGAGAGGAGACGGAGTGGCAGCAGCGGGAACATCAGGGAGGAAGGGGAGCTTGTGCAGGGCGGCAAGATCCTTAAGACAGGAAGGGCAGGCCGGCGCCGCGGCTCACTAGGCTAATCCTCCGCCTTGCGGCGCCGGCACACCGGGTTCTAGTCCCGGTCAGGGTGCCGGATTCTGTCCCGGTTGCCCCTCTTCCAGGCCAGCTCTCTGCTGTGGCCCGGGAGGGCAGTGGAGGATGGCCCAGGTGCTTGGGCCCTGCACCCCATGGGAGACCAGGAGAAGCACCTGGCTCCTGGCTTTGGATCAGCGCGATGCACTGGCCGCAGCACGCCGGCCGCAGCGGCCATTGGAGGGTGAACCAACGGCAAAAGAAGACCTTTCTCTCTGTCTTTCTCTCTCTCACTGTCCACTCTGCCTGTCAAAAAAAAAAAAAAAAAAAAAAAAAAAAAAAAAAAAAAAAGAGGAAGGGCTGGGATGGGGCTGGCAGTGGTCCTTTGAGAAGAACGAGAAGGCACCGCCTTAGAAATCCCAGGGCTGAGGGCACACAGTCTGTGCTGCTTCCTCTTGGCTTACTTTCTCAGATGCCCTGATGGTGGAGAGTTTCTGGTTTCCTTTTCTCCCCCCTCACCCCACCATTCAGCCCCATGTCCCTGCATAGGGTGACTGGAAGCAGGGCTGGCTGTGCCCATCAGCTCGTGAGCTGTTCCTCCGAGGGGCTTGGAAAGTTCCAGCAGAAACCCTGCCTTTGACCCAGAACCCCTCTGCCACTAGCTGCACACGGGCCCTTCTTAGAGGCGACAGAGGTCTTTGTTCTTGACTGAAAACAGAGTGGCACCTGGCATTCCAAGTGCGCTTTGCCATCCCCGAGTGCACTGTGTTGTTTCAATGTCTGGCGGAGCGTGAATTGTAAACACGCCATTAGACTTAAAGGCTGCCCTGAGACGCTGGCTGGAGGAGAACAGGCCCTGAAGAAAAGAGGAATTTTACTGAAGATGAGCTGCTGAATAATTTACCTTGAATCGGAAAGTCAATACCTTAAGTGAGGCAGGGTGCAACTGGAGAACCCACAGGTAAACACTGGCAGGATGCGCTGTGAAAGAACCCCGTGGCACAGGGGCAGTGACTGGCTAAGGGTCGGCTGAGGCTGCCCAGGGTTGGAAGCAGGAACGGGGCACAAAAGGAGAGGCAGAGCAGAGCTGCCTACAAGGCCACCTGCCTCTCAGCTGGAGAGAGGGCGCCAGACAGGAGTGGGGAATCGCTGAGAGCAAAATGATGAGGCTAACCAGGAGTCCCAGCAAGAGCTCACCAGAGGCCCAGCACAGATTCCTGGAGGAGGAAGGGCCCTGGGCTGTAAGGGAAGATTTGATTGGTGGGGAGGAGTTGGGAGAGGGGTTTCGTCAGAAGAGCTGTTGAGGCGTAGCAGGGGAGAGTTGAAGAGACTGGTGTGGGTGCAGTCCCAAGAATGGAGATTTGCTGAAATTGGAAACAGAAGCTTGTCTTAGCCTGTTTTCTGTTGCTATAAAAGAATACCAAAGACTGGGTAATTTTTAAAAATATATTTATAATTATTTATTTGAGAGGCAATGACAAAGAAAGAGAGAGACGGGGTGGGATGGGGGGCTGGGTGAGGGGACAGAAAGAGAGTTTCCATCCACTGGTTCACTCTCCAAATGCCTGCAGTGGTTCCACATGGGGGTCTGAAGCCAGGAGCCTAAAGTTTGTTTCAGGTCTCCCACACGGGTGCAGGGACCGCTACATGAGCCATCGTCTGCTGTCTCCCAGAAAGGTGGAATCAGGGGCACAGCTGGGACTCATACCTGGGCACTGTGGTATGGGATACAAGCATCATAACCAGTGTCTTAACCACCAGGCCCCTACCCACTCTTGGCTGGGCAATCTTTAAAGAAATAGAAGTTGGGGAGTCCAAGGGCATGGCACCTGCCTCTGGCCAGGGCTTCCTGCTGCCCCACAACATGGCGGGAGGTCAAAGGGCATGTGAGGGCAGGGCAGAGAGAAGCTTGAGGGGCAGGCGTGCTTATGTCACAACCTCTTCATTCATGAGCGAGAGCGCCACCTTCATGACCCAGTCACCTGTTCCTGGGCCCCTCCTCCCAGCGCTGGTGCCCAGCGCATGCATCTGGGGGGCTGCTGTGCTGTGGATATGGTCCAAGCTTTCCCCAAAGGCTCACGTGTGGAGGCTCGGCTTTTAGGGAGGCAGAATCAGGAGGTGCTGTGGTCCTAATGGGAGCTCCTGTAACCTACCCTCAGGAAGGAGTAAGGTGGTCCTCACAGGACACCCTGGTCATCCTTGAGGAGAGTTGTTCTAGAAGCCCCAGCCTGGCCCTGCCCAGCCTCTGTCTGCAGTCTCCCAGGTTCTGTCTTCCGCCATCTTCCATGGAGCCCTTGTAAGAACCTGGGCCATGCTAGTCAGCGTTCTGGTCTCCAAAACTGTGAGCTAAATAGACCTCTTTTCTTTACAAGCAGGCCGTGTCACATACTTTGTTATGGTGACAGAAAGCCGACTGACACAGAGAAAAATTTTAACCACCTGGAGCCCCTGAAAATTCTGCCGCAGGAAGTTGACACATTCACTCATGCACCCGGTCATCCGTGTGTGCATTCAGCAAATACTCAGCACACAGCAGAGAGCTACGGTCTCATTTCTGCGCTGGTGCTGAGCACGGGACTGGTCTATGGCCTCCTGGAACTTAGATTCTGGTGCGTCAGACGGAGAATCGAACACCAGTAGTCACCTCGTTGTGCTAAGTGCTTTGCAGGCGCAAGCTCAAACCTTCTCGCCATGACATTAGGAGGTCGGGGGAACCACTGCTGCCATTTTACAGATAAAGAAAGTGAGTCCTAGGGAAGGTAAGCAGTTTGTCCAAGACAACCCAGCTAGTGGGTTATGGAGTCCATCATGCTCTTGAACAGTCATGACCTAGGGCTAAGGTCTGGAGTGGGAGATAGGGGAGGTTTTCAACCAGGTCTTAGGAGAGGCACATTTCCCATGAGCAGCACACATGCCTCTCTCCAGGGGGCCAGGGATGCATTCTAAAGGAAGGAGTTAAAATGAAACCTAGTGAGCTGGGGTGATGTGATCAGGTACCAGTGGAAGTGATGTGGTGGATGGCAGAGAAGCTGTGTGTGGCAGGCCCTGGAGGTGTCCCGAAGAGGCTAGACTTCATCCTGGGGTCCGTGCGAGGGCAGTGAGGAGCCACTGGAGGGCTCTAAGAAGCAGAGGATGGAGCTTGGGTGTGTGTGTGTGTGTGTGTGTGTGCGTGTGATGGATTTTAAACACATTGCTTCGTGGGGGAATTGATTGGTGGGGCCCAGAGTGCAAGCGGCTGGAACAGTGAGGAAGTTGTGAAATGGAAAATAAGTGAACCAATAAATGTGTCAAAGCCTTGAATACTTTATTCCTAGGAGGATCCCTTGGCCCAGTGCTCAAAGTCTTTTTTTCCTCATTTACATCCGATTCTGATAATTCAGCTGTTTGTTTTCCCAATTTGTAGTGTATTAAGAGTAGCAGCTGAGGAAGGAATTTGAGAGCATAGTGGGTATTCGACAGGGAAAAGGCACTGGCAGTTGTAAAACGCAACAACCTGATGGCAAGGAAAGACGCAGAAGAACCGCTAAATACAATAAGCAGACGAACCCAACTGGCTCAGCAGGGTGAGGCTCTTCAGCGCTAAGGCAGGTAACCCTACTTCCGTGGCGTCTCTCATTTCAGGCTGCTGTTTGAGATCAATGGTGATTCATTTAAACCAGCACCCGCAAAGTGCGGCGTTTGAGAACCCTTGTTTAAAAAGTCGGGAGAGAGGAAAGAGCTGCTCCTCGTTCCCGGCAGCGCTGTGAGTTGTTGGAAATGTCCCAGTCGGCTGAGGAAGCCTGGAGCCTGCTGCTCTGCGTGGAAGTGGCCGTCCCAGGGCTGCTGGAGCCCAGGGACTGGAGCGGGGCCAAAAGCTCCCTCAGCAAGCCTTGGCAGAACCTGGGCCGACGTGAGGGGGCGTCGACGAGCCCCAGCGGGCCGATGTGTGGAGGCCACAGGGCCCACGGCAACCAAGCACCTCCTTTAGAAATCGGGCTGAAGCCTCTCCTAGGTCACTGCGGTCCTTTAGGGTCGTGCTGCTAGGGAGCCTCCCCAGAGAAGCACCGGGACTAAGTGATCCCTTGACGGTGCGATTCTATCAGCGTAGCCATGGCCCAGGCCCCTGAGCTGCCTCCTCCCCCCACCATGTGGCCATGGCTTAGCTGAGGAGTGTGGAAGGCTCCTGGCTCTGTACAGACTTGGATTTGCTCCAGAAGGATCGGCACCCTCAGCCCCCTCCACTCAGGCACACTCCATCGTGTCTGAGCACGGGTGCTCGACCTTGCACAGCTGGCGACTCCGACGCAGCCCCCGATCACATCCGTGTGTCTGACTCAGGTGGCCAGAAGTACCTTCCAGGAGCGCAGCCAGGGCAAGACTCCCAGGAAACCACTACTCGAGGCATCTGACTGTGCTGCTCTCGTTAGCACAGTTAACAGCATAGAGAGGAAAGCTTTCTCAGCTCTTAATTGGTTAAGATCTGGGAGGCCGGAGTGGGAAAATCCTGTCTGAAGGGAGAGGTTCTGTGGGCCTCAATTCTCAAAGGATTTGGAAGCATCTGTTGCCTCCTCCAACCGTCCTAGATTGTCAGCCTGCACTGAGCTACCTGCCTGACACATTTGGATTCCACAGGGGAGGACAGTTCAGAAAAAATCTTCCATAGAAGGTAACTGGGTGGGTCTGAGAGGCCTGTTCCGGCCCCCAGCTTTTTACCCAGTTAATGACATTCCCACGGGGAGCTATGGCCATTGGAAGCATGACCACTAGAACTGTGTGTCTCTTGCACAACTTTTCCTAGCTTCAATTATACGTGTGTTTTTGTTGCTATGACAAGTGCTTTTGGTAGTTTTCCAATTGTTCTTTGGAGTGTAAAAGCACAATTGATTTTCACTTATTAATCATATAAATTCAGCAGCTTGGTAAACCACACTTACTCAGAGTTCTCAGTGTATCTAATCATACGAGAATAATGTGTTTTACTTTTCTTCTCTTTTTTTAAAAAAAGTATATTAGGACTATTGTCATTCAAACTGAAACAAAAGAGTAATTCTTATATTTGGTGTCTATTATTCTCTGATACCATCAGATAATATATGATTTAAACATGGTTTTATTAAATGTTGTTGGTTCCTAGATTATTATTATAAACCTCAGAGATCCATTTTTGCCATCTCAGAGCCAGTGGACTAAGGTTGTAGTCGTAGTCCAGGTGAGAGGCGAGGGTCACGGTAGAGAGCAAGGAGATGTGGGTAGAACTCGGACATATGTAATGAGCACCTGGCTCATGGATTGGACATGCAGAGCAGAAGGGAGGAATGGCCAAGGATAACTTCTGAGCTTCCGGTTTGCACAACAGTATGGTCGCTATCACTCACGGAGACACAAAAAAGGGTCCATATTTGCAAGGGTATAGAAAGGGGAAGGCTCATGAGTTTGGTTTTGCAGTTTTGACTTTGAGATGTTTTGTGTCATATAAGGAGTGACATTAGCAGGCAACTGGACGTACAAGTGCAGAGTTTGGAGGAGATACTTGGCTGGGATCGTCTTTTATGATGATGGTTTGAGTGTAGGTGAAATGGGTTAAGGCTGGAGACAACACAGTAAGAAGAGCAGAGACTTGGATGGAAGCCTGAGGAGCTACACCACTTAATGGCAGCTAAAAGAAGATAGGTTGGCAGGAGGGAGAGGCAAGAGGGAATTCAGGAGAGCATATTGTCCCAGGTGCTAGAGAATGGGCTGTTTGAAGAGAGAGGAGCATCTTCACGGTGTTCAGAGCAGCTGAGAGGTTGACGAAGATGGAGACTGAGAATGCCCTGTGTTCAGCAGCATGGTGATAACTGCAACGTTCCCGAGAGCTGTTGTGCAGATGATTATCTGGCTAAAGAGTGAGTAGGAAGTGAGACACTTTTTGATAATTTATTGGAAAATAATGCCTCTGTATTGTTGTATTTTGGCTTTAGAATACAACATCACAAACAGGACATTATTAAGGTCTAAAGAAATAAGCTTTGTGAATGCCGGGACCTTAGAATGCTGGACCCATTGAATAGATGCTGGGGACTCTGCGATGACATTAGGGTGGAACAGCACGGAACTGGCCCTATCTGCTAAACAGCTTGGGGACATGGGGACTTAAAGATTCTATTTAGGAGCCTCTCAGCTCTCTTACCATGTTTGCAAATGCTTGGGTGAGGGAGCCTATAGGCAGTGAACATTCTTACCCAATACCTAGATTTGTTCTCTGTCTGGAAAGTGACTCCACGAGTCTCTGTAAATACATCCCACCACATCAGCCCTTCCACTGACACCTGTAAGACTGTTTTACTTAGAATCATTCACTGGAGTACTTTGTACTTTTGGCATCTGCCATTTGTCTTGAAACCAAGTTTATCTGGGTTCTTTGATGACAAACTCCACAGCTCTCAGAGGAGTGGCTCTGAGGCCTGCTGCAATGCAAGCTGTCCCCAAGCTCTGGTCTCTGGCTCTGACAGAGGCAGCAGATTGTTGACTGTCTTCCAGCTGTTTCTTGCCACTTGCAATTTGTGCTTTCTGCAGAAATCACTCTGTTCTGAACAAGCCAGTCACCTCACCGTTATGAGAAGTTCGTGTGTCTGCTGAATATTTCATTTACCATCTGGCTGGTGGCAAAGCACACAACATACTTATGGACAAAAATGCCCCCAGACCATCAAATAACAATCCTGGAAAGGACGCTTGCTTCTCCTCACACCTGACAGCCACCAGTGATCCATTGCATGGTACTTCTGCTACTTCCTGAGGCTCTGGGAATGAGGAATCCGTGTTGGGGAGCAGCTAAAGGGCGGAACTTTCTGCCCTTTCTGCCAGGGCATTAGGGTGGCCTCCGTGCATTTTCTCTTTTATTTTAAATTTTATGTCTTTATTTATATTGATTTGAAAAGCAGAGTGACAGAGAAAGAGAACGAGTGAGAGTGAGGGCAAGAGATCTGCCAATTGTTGGCTCACTAGCCAAATGTCCACATTAGCTGGAGCTGGGCCAGGTTAAAAAGCCAGGAGCCCAGGACTCCAAACACATCTCCCAGTAGGTGGCAGGGACCCAAGTACTTGAGCCATCACATGCTGTCTCCCAGGGTCTGCACTAGCAGGAAGCTGGATTGCAAGTGGAGCCAGGACTCAAACCCAGGTATTCTGCTATGGGATGTGGGTATCCCAAGGAGCATCTTAACCACTCACTAAACACCCCACCAAGAACTAAGGAGCTAACAAGAGGACATTTCACCACCCAGCTCCTCTGCTTCCTGCCTTACTGAAGCCCCATGGAAATCTGTGATTCTCCTTCTGCCATCTCTAGGGGCTCGGGAAATGGGAGCCTGGCCTCTACTTCGCCAACCAGATTCTCTCTTTCCAAAAGGATATTTAATAGTTCTTTTCCTTGTTTAAGGGACAACATCCAATTAGGGTTTGACAGCTCTTCTCTTTTCAACAACTTCTTTGCAGATGCAGATATTTCCAAGAGGTCTCTCACTTGTGAGTTTTCATCAGCAGTAATTCTCTCATTGAACACAGATGTCTCTCAACAGTTACCGGGGAGAGAGGTGAGATATGGAAGGAGTGCTGGACTCAGAGCCAGAGCCCTCTGTCGCTTCTACTCATGAGTGCTTGACATTCGATACAGTGTGCTCTCCCATAAAATGGGCATAGTGACAGCTTACTTCGTGGGTTGTTGTGAAGAGAAAGATGATATGTGTGAACAGTGCTCCACGGGTTGGACAGGGCCAGTATCCCCACTCTGCCGCCAGGTCTAGCTGGTCTCATAAGACACATCACCACCGTTCTGTGTGGTTGTGCTTGCCTCTACTTAGATAATTTGTCAGGGAAACTGACACTCATCCCTTTAAGTAATAAGATATTCATAATATGTATATATATATATATTCATCCCTAAGTTACAAATATGAGTATATACTTTATAATATATACAATCATGGATTGGGATAAAAATATCACAATTTGCTATTTAAATAAAAGCATTAAGTACTATTAAAACCAACATTGGTTAAGTGCTTATCCTAAATCAGTGCACAGATTTACAAATAGCATTTCATTCATCTTCACGACAACCTCATGAGGTAGATGTCACACTTACAGACGAGGAAATCAAGATACAAGAACTGAAGTAATTTACTCAGAGCCACACAGCCGGTCAGTAGGACTGTGAGGTTACAAGTGCATCACCACTGTGCTCTACAACACACCTCCTACTGAGCACCCTGAATAAAGAACAGGAAGCCGAAGCTTCTGTAATCGTTCACTGCATCTGTATAAGCAGACAATTCTACAAAAACATTGGTATGTAAAAGATACAACCATAAGCAGTGGCTCTGAGTGAACCTTAGACTGTGCTTGGTCACTACATGGTGACCGTGAGGATTTCTCTTATTTTCCAGTAGAAACTCCACTCAGGCAGCACAAGTAGCCCAGGTATGTTCTATGTGTATGTGCATGAATATTTGATCCATTTAGTGAAATGTTGCTCCCACAGTATTGCTGTCTTCTCTGTGGCCATAAACCATACAGAGTTACTATTTTCCTGACAATGAGACTCATCACCACCAGTGTCAAAGGTTGCATTGTACTTGGTGTGATGTGCTTGGAGCCCACGGTGGAAGGCTACAGTGGCCATTGGCTTGTAGATGTGATTATCCCAGAAGAGTTGTAAGACTAGGTCAGCAGGACTGCAACCATTGCAAAGAAGATTCCAGTACAACCAGAGGAATCCCTTTTTAAATTAGATAACTATTCTAGTTTTGAAAGTTAGTACATTAAGAAATATGCACTGGGGCTGGTGTTGTGGTGTAGTGGGTGAAGCTGCTGCCTGTGATGTCAGCATCCCATGTGAGCACTGGTTCATGTCCCAGCTGCTCCATTTCTGATCCAGCTCCCTGCTAGTTCACTTGAGAAAGCATCAGAAGATGGCCCAAGTGCTTGGCCCTTGCTACTCACATGGGAGACCTAGACAGTTCCAGACTCCTGGCTTTGACCTGGCCCAGCCCTAGCCCATGCAACCATTTGGAGAGTAGAGCAGCAGGTGGAAGATCTCTCTCTCTCTCTCTCTCTCTCTCCCTCTCTCTCTCTCTCACAAATAAATAAATATAATTTTTAAATAGACAAGTTGGGCAAAGAATATGTGCAGACAATCTAGCAAAGAGAATGTGTAAGCCATCAATAAACACATGAAAGGATGCTTAAAGTTGTTAAAAATCAGAAATGCATTTTTAGGCATAGATACCATAGTTCACCTCTCAGACTGACAAATTAATGCTCTAATTTCAAAGTATTAGAACACATGGGAAATAAGTACTCCCATCTTCTGCTGGTGAGAGTGTTGTTGACACAGTCATTTTGGAAATATGACTTAGAAGGAATATGACAATAAAAATACACATTACCCTATGACTTTGTACTCAAAATGTGGTCTGTGGACCAGTGATGTCAGCATCACTTGAGTGCTCATTAGAAATACATAATGCCAGGCCCATCTCACATGCACTGAATCAGAACCGGCATTCTTTCTTTACTTATTTGAAAGGCAGAGTTACAGAGTGAGAGGGGGAGAGAGAGAAAGAGAGATCTTCCATCTATTGGTTCACTCCCCAAATGGCTGCATCAGCCAGGACTGGGCCAAGCTGAAGCCAGGAGCTTCATTTAGATCCCCCACATGGACTTGGGCCATCTTCCACTGCTTTCCCAGGCACATTAAGGATCTGCATCTTCCACTGCTTTCCCAGGCACATTAAGGATCTGCATCTTCCACTGCTTTCCCAGGCACATCAAGGAGCTGGATCAGAAGTGGAGCAGCCAGGACTCGAACCAGTGCCCATAGGGGATGCTAATGCTTCAGGCCATGGCTTAACTGCCTGTGCCACAACACCAGCCCCAGAACCTGCATTCTAAGAAAATCTCCAGATGAAACATAGACATATTAAACTCTGAGAAGAAATGTGCATGCAATTCTTAACCATGGGCTTTCAGAACTAAGATTAGAGGTAGTGGCCAACTTCTAAAATTCTTGCGTGCTTCATCTTTAATGTCTGAAGTTTTCCAATGCATATTATTTTTTAAGATTTACTTATTTGTTTTGAAAGTCAGAACTATAGAGAAAGATCAAGAGACAGATCTTCCATCTGTTGGTTAACTTCCCAGATGGCCACAATGGCCAGCACTGGGCCAGGCTGAAGCCAGGACCAGGAGTTTCATCTGGGTCTCCCATGTGGGAGGCCCAAACAATTGGGCCATCTTCTGATGCTTTCTCAAGTGAACTAGCAGGGAGCTGGATTGGACTTGGAGCAGCTGGCACTCGAACCCGTGCCCGTGTGGGATGCTGGCAGTGCAGGCAGTAGCTTGACTTGCTGCACCACAGTGCTGACCCCAGCCCATGTTTTCTTTTGGGTATCTTTGCCCATCTACGTTATTGGCTTATATGGATTCCTTATTCACTTGTATTCTAGATGCCAGTCCTTACCCTGTTACATATCTTGCAAATATTTTTCTCCAGGTCTAAAGAAGAAATGTCTATTCAGCAGTGCTGTCCAGCCATTGAATGAAAGAGGAGCTGCTCAGAAGCTGTGCGACCATTTGTTGAGGTGTAACCATCAACCGCTTGCACCCTTTCCTTTCTTGTTAATGTAAGAGACGGGACGAGAGCTTATCCTACTGCCCTGTGGTGAGTTACTGCTTGGCTTTCTCCACCGAGTACGATCTCCTTGAGGGCAGCACTGTGGGCCTGAGAGTCATCTCTACATCACCAGTACCCAGCAGTGGGTCTGGCACGGACAGGCCCTCAGGAAAAGTTCAGTGGAGGAATAAGTGAACAGAGGGTTAGATGAGGCTAGTCGGAGGATTTCTGTTAGGATCCACCCTACGACTCAGCCAGGAGTTGCTTTGGGCCCTTGAATAAAGTGAAAGAAGGAGAGCTTTCAGTTAGAGGAAAGTTCCCACTGCTGGTCTTCTCTCCCTCCGTTTGCCTTTCAGGGACTTTGGGGCACTGAGATAGTAATTATAGCAACAGTCAAGGGGGCCAGCGCTGTGGTGTAGCGGGTGAAGCTGCCGCCTGCAGTACCAGCAGACCATATGGGTGCTGGTTGAGTCCCGGCTGCTCCACTTCCAATCCAGCTCTCTGCTATGGCCTGGGATAGCAGTAGAAGATGGCCCAAGCCCTTGGGCCCCTGCACCACGTGGGAGACCCGAAAGAAGCTTGGCACAGCTCTGGCCATTGTGGTCAACTGGGGAGTGAACCAGCAGATGGAAGACCCCTCTCTCTCTCTGCCTCTCCTTCTCTCTCTGTGTAACTCTGCCTTTCAAATAGATAAATAAATATGTCATTTATTAGCACTATTTTGCAGATAAGGAAACTGAGGCATAGAGCAAGCAATTCAGTGTCTTGCCTGAGATCATTTGGTGAGTACAGTAGTTCCTGGATGTGTGCCCAGATGAGACCATACATGAACATCCCCAGGCCTGGCACACGGCAGGTATGAAACAAACACCGTGTCTTTGTTTACTGCCCCTCTCAGACCTGCAGCTTGGCAGAGCCCAGTCTTGGGCCTATTGTACCTCTGCAGACTTTGTCTCTACATGCTGTCTCCACCATGCCCTGTTCTCTTAGGACTAGGGCAGCCTCGCTCCCCACGCAGCCAGCCCAGGGAGGGAGCTTCCTACTCTCAGGGCATGTTTTTCTCCATGAGCCCCCCAGTCCTGATTGGTACCTTGGGCCCCAAGGCTTTGCGTGGTGCTGCCATCTGGTGGGTATGGATGGCCACTGACAGACAGTCCTCTCTGAGGAGTAGACTCCAGCCATGGCCAAGATTGGCTCACTGTCCCTTCACCCTGAGGTCGGGGTACCCACTCAGCATGTGTCTGGCAGCTGACCCAATGTAATAACTAACCTTTCCCACCCCTGATGTCAGATAATCCGGATGAAGGCTGAGTGGTGGTGGGATGGATAGGGCTGCCCCTAAGGGTAAGAAGTCCTACCAGCTCACCCCCAAATCTCACCAGGACAGCTGTCTCCCAGTGTAGAGGATGGGTGAGGTCCAAAGGCTGCACTGGACAGACCCTAGCAGGCCCTCCAGCCTCTTCCGTACATTCTTTAAGGCCCTTGCCTTTCTCTGATGGCAGGAACGCAAGGAGAACTCACATTCCAACCCTCAGAGTCAGTCTGAAGAATAATTCACTTTGCAGTCTGTGTGTGTGCGTGTGTGTGTGTGTGTGTGTGTGGTGACTCCTTGAGGAAGGATTTACTTACAGAGAAGGTGAGGAAACACTCAGGAGTTAGATCAGTGACCTAGCTTGACAATCAAAAACATGTGGGCCAGCGCCGTGGCTCAATAGGCTAATCCTCCACCTAGCGGCGCCAGCACACCGGGTTCTAGTCCGGGTCGAGGCACCGGATTCTGTCCCGGTTGCCCCTCTTCCAGGCCAGCTCTCTGCTGTGGCCTGGGAAGGCAGTGGAGGATGGCCCAAGTGCTTGGGCCCTGCACCCCATGGGAGACCAGGAGAAGCACCTGGCTCCTGGCTTCGGATCAGCGCGGTGCACTGGCCGCAGCGCGCCAGCCGTGGCGGCCATTGGAGGGTGAACCAACAGCAAAGGAAGACCTTTCTCTCTGTCTCTTTCTCTCACTGTCCACTCTGCCTGTAAAACAAAACAAAACAAAACAAAAAAACAAAAAACATGTTACGGTCCATGGATGCCTTTAGCCATTTTCCAGTCCCAGAAAAGAGGCCCATATTGAGACCAGGAAACTCAGATCATGTCCACATAGCGACAAAACTGGGCAGGGCCCCGGGCAACTGGTCATTCAGACAGAACCCCAGGAGCTCAAGAATTTCGTGCTGGGTGGAATGTAATTGAACTGATGGCCAAAGATAGGAACCTCTACTCAAGTGTGATTTACCAGGCCTTCTGCATGAGGGCGCACTCCTTTGACCTTGTGACTGCAAAATCTTTGTGGCTGAGGTCCTGTGTCTCCTCTCACTTCCTCTGTGTCTGAGTGAGGGATCAGAGGTCTTGAGTGGCAAGCTGAGAGTACCAGGGCAGCCAGTGTCCGGAGGGAACCAGCCATCCATGTTGAATCTCCTATCAGCCCAGGCAGATCACTGGACTGCGGATGGTGAAAACAGACATTATGAACAGGAGCTGGCGTGCTGCAGCCCACCTAGCCAGGATGCGATGAGCCCCTCCCCCTGCTGCCAATCACTTTAGTAGTCCCTATTAGTTTCTGTTACATCGGAGATGACTGGTAGAAACACCAAGGATGGCTAAACACCAGGATGGGGTTTATGGAGCCGAGCTGTGACCTAGGAAGGGAGGGAGCATATCCTGTGATGCTGTGTACCCACTCCGTGTCCTGTGCCAATCACAGCCCTGCCAGGTGTGTGCTCTTCATTTAATCCTCACAAGCAGGCCTTTAGCAGGCTGTGGCTTTTATTTGATGCATGGGACAAACTGAGCCTCTGATGTTTGGAAAGGTGTCCAGGCTTATCTCACGAACAATACACAGTGGAGGAAGGAGAGTGGCTGCATCTCCAGTGAGTATTCTTTGGACAGGTCGGCTCAGCCTGTGCCTCTTGAGAGGAGAGGAGAGGCTGTTCAGGATCCTTCCTTTGTTGTACAGATTATCCTAGAGGGGCAGCTAGCTAGTAGAAATTTAAGGTTGCACAATCCACTTTGTTTTTTTCTTGAAACTTATTTTTTAAAAGCAACTTTTTTTTTTTTAAATTAAGAATGTAAAGAGTGACCATTGCCTCCTCTTTGTCTAACCTTGAAAGATCTCGAGGGAAGATGAACTCGCAGAGCCCCTCCTGGCAGAGGGTGCAGAACAGAAAGGGTCACACCTTGGCTGTTAGCTGTACTCAAGCCCACTGCTCCTGAGTCTGTCCATGCAGAAGGCACTGGAGACCACGTGTCCTCTGTGAGCTGACTCGCATCTGCAGAAGAGAGGAACGGGAGAGACAGCTTCAGTCCCTAGGGGAGGCGATGGGTTTGTCTGCTTTGGCTTTTCCCCCACCCCTGAACGTGTGCACCTTCTCTCTTCTCCTTGTGTGTCTCACACATAGACATTCCTCTCCTGCCCTCGCCCACGCCCACGCCCACTGCTCTGTGCTCCAGCTGAGGTCAGGGAGAGACCTCCCAGGAGCCTTAGTTGGTGTTTCTGTTCACAGCCTCTTTGGGGAGATGTCCAAAACAAGGCACTGCTTTGAGGGTCCCTTGGTAGACCACGACACAAGGAGCTTCCCCTCTTCTGTAAGGCAGGTTCAGTGGAATCCAGAACAGAGCACTGGAGAGAGCCGCGGCGATTACCACCATGGCTGCCTCCTTGACACTCCAGGCCAGGAAAAGGCAACTTAGAGGCAACGAGAGGCAGCAAATCTGTGATTTCAAAAGTCCCTGTAAAAAGAATTCTGTTCGGGTGCTGAGAGGTGGGTGTTCAGCAGAAGCGAGCACTTGCTCCACCAACAGTCACAAGGTGCCCTGTGCCATCAGGGATAGGTCTCTCCTGCCCAGCAGCAGTGACCACAGGCCCCGGGGGTCTCGAGGTTCATTCACAGAGAGCTAATTCTCCACCCCCAGCCCCAGGGGCATTTCCGGGCAAAGCTGTCCTGTGCACCGGGAAGGACACCTGGAGTTGCAGGACCCACAGCTGTGCTCTGGGAGCTGCGCAGACTTAACGATGAAAATCTAGATGGGGCAAAAGCTGCGGAAGGTGGGAGAGGGGCTGCTCAGAGACAGCTTAGCGGTGCTGCTAAGAGATTCCTGGAGGGTCGGCTCCCGGACGGACGGTGGCCAAGTCTGGAGACATCGGGAAGCTGCGGCCAGAGGCCGGCGGACAGGGTGGAGGCCGAGGAAGGGGAGGACGCCCAGAGGTCCCGCCCCTGCTCGCTGGCCTCCTGCGTCCGGATGACTAGCAAATGGGTCTCTGCGTGGGCAGGTGGGACCTGCGTGAGAAACGCAGCGGCCGGGGCGAGGGCGCGAGCTGGAACTGGCCCGCGAGGCGGAATCTGCCCACCCAGGGGCCGGGCCCAGCGGCGCGCCCTCTCGAGCAGCTTCGGGTCCCGGGCAGCCGGCGCGGGCGCGGCGCCGCCCGGCGCGGGCGGAGGCTCCGGCTCGCCCCTCGGGGGCGGGGGGCGGGGGCGGCTGGCAGGTGGGGCCCGGGGGCCGGACTCCGCCTCCTTGCGCCCTCCCCGTTGGTCGGCGGCCGCCCAGCCCCGGCCCCTCTCCGGAGCCGGAGCGCGATTGGTGGCGGCGCTTGTCGCTCGGAGGGGGCCGGGCCGCTCGGCGCCGCGGCTCGCCCCGCCGCCGCGCCGCTGCCGCCGCCGCCGCCGCCGTCCTCTCAGCAGCGCGGGCCGGTCGGACCGCCGAGGCAGCCGGCGCCCGGCGATGGGAAGCGGCGCGGCCGCGGACCCAGGCTGTGACAAAGTTTCCCAGACGCGCGTGCCGGGGCTCGCGGCTGCCGGCCACCCGTGACCGCTCCAGGATTTTTAATTTAAAGAAAAATCCACCTCGTTCTCTTTGTCAAGCTCTCTGTCCGGGTGGGCAGCGGCGGGAGCTGCAAACTTGGGCACGGCGGCTCCGCAGCCAGTGGGCCGGGCTTTGGAGGACCTTGGGACGCAGGTGCTGGGGCGCCCGGCGGCCCCGGACGTGCTAGGGGGTGTGAGCGCAGGAGAGTCCGGGGCGCGCGACCAGGAGGGTTCCCCGGGAGCTCTATATGGAGGAGGGAGCCCAGAATGGTGTGCACCAGGAAGACCAAAACTTTGGTGTCCACCTGCGTGATCCTGAGCGGCATGACCAACATCATATGCCTGCTCTACGTGGGCTGGGTCACCAACTACATCGCCAGCGTGTATGTGCGGGGGCAGGAGCCGGCTCCCGAAAAGAAGCTGGAGGAAGACAAAGGGGACACTCTGAAGATCATTGAGCGACTGGACCACCTGGAGAATGTCATCAAGCAGCACATCCAAGGTACCGGCGTCCCGGGAAACTTGGGCCGCCCACGAGGCCGGGGAGTGCCCAGTGCCACGCGGGGTGCGCCGGGGCGGGTGCGCCTGCAGCCGGCCACCGCGGGGCCCCGGGACGGCAGATGCGTGGTGGTGGTAGGGCTGCGTGTGCGCTCTGGTTGGCGTACGGGACCGTCCGTGGCCGTGGCCGTGCGCGGAGCTGCCCGCGGGTGTGTGCAGGTAGCTGTCGCTGTGGGGGCGCGCTGCGCACGTGTCCCAGGGTGCTGCTCGCGGGCATTCGGGATGGCACGCGAGTCCATCTCGTAGTGTGTGTGAGTGTGAGTGTGTAGGAGCCACAAGGCAAAGGAACTCGTGTGGCCAC